GTTTTGTCCACTTGCGCGAGGGCGGCCTGCCACCTGGTCGGTTAGGAGGATTATTTTTTTTGCGTCGTTGCGCTCTCTTTTTATTCCGCTGCGTTTTCTTGCGGACCTGCGAAGGGAGATTTGCAAGAAATTCCTGCGAGGCGTTCTTGCCGTCGTCGGAAAAGCGGATTTCCCCCTTGAAAAACGCTACTTTTTAAATTTGTTTTGGGCGGGGAGTTCCTGTCGATTCACTGCGACTTTGCTTTGCGGATTTGATGCGTGTGTTTCCGAGCGGTTCGATCTGTGCTCCCAGCCCACTCGGATGTGGTGTGCGCTTCGACGTGAAGGTGCCTGTCAGCCGTTTTATTGCCTCCCCCGCTGTGGCTGCCGCCGCTGCCTTCTTCTCTTCCTGAGGTCCTGCGGCCTCTTGACAAGATGTTTTGGAGAAGGCGTTGCCGCTCTTATCGTCCATGGTATTTTGATTCTGGTGTCGCGGTCAGGAGACATTGAACGAGAGGGTTTGCTGCTCTTTTGTTTTATTTGTCCTCTCTGCCTGACGGCCAGTTCTACACAAACGTGCTCCTCGGCGCCCCAGTTGGTGCTGGCGGGTTTGCTCACAGTTGTCACTGGCAGTCGCATGCGCCAACTCTTCTCTGCTTCTTTTCAGTGTCGTATTTTTTTTATTATTGATTGACGGACGCCATTCTGTCCGGCGTGCCACTTTGATTGGATTGTGTGGGACTGCTCGCCAACGCCATCGGAGAAAGCAGGCTGACGAATTCACGTATTTAATTGCATCTTGCGCGCACGTATTTTTTTTACGTTTTATTGGTGTGCACTCAAACAGCGAGGAATCCGGAACCATGCGTGCGTGGAATTCTTCCTGCCATGTGAACTGCGGGCAACACCGAGGGACTGTCACTTTTACTCCGCAGAGTTATTGTTTCTCTTTGCGGGGTTGGCAGGGAAATTCCATGCCTTCTGCCACTGCTGGTGTGTCCCCAAATGTTGTCACTCCATGCGAATAATGTGCTTCATCGAGTGAGGGTGTTGATTGGGTTTGTGTGCACTCTGGTTCTGTTTGCCACTTTGTGCGGGCACGCAACACTTGAGTGGTGGGAAAATGGAGCGGGGCGATGCATGGCTGCGTCTCGCCCATTGTTCAGTGCACGATGGTGTGGTGCGCATTGTGGTGCTGACTCTGCGATGTGGCTGCGGTCCCCTGTGCTGCAATGGTGGTGGGTGGAGGAGAGTGTTGACCCGCGGCGGGACGGTGGGATCGCGCCTCCTTTTCTCTTTGTTCCTTCCCTTTTGTGAAGGTGTGCACTTATTTTTGGTGTCGGTGATGGGGCAAACGGACAGACAACGTGAATCATAAAAAAACAGGACGATAATGTGGCGGTGTTGTGGCCGATTGCACGTTGCGTCGCTGCGGGGGCGGTGGGCCTTGACTGTTTCACCGACAGGCGTTGCAGTGCGGCTGCATGGCGCACCGACCGTCCCGCCGTGCGAGTGCCACGCCCAACGCCACTGGGACTGCGGGACGAAATAGCCGCGACTGTCCTTTGGAGCCAGCGGCACTTGTGTTGTCTCCGACGCTACAGCTCGACATTTGGTGGGGAGTAAAGAGTGACCGCCGTGGACTCTTGACGGTCTGGTGGAAGATCTAATGCTAGACGGAGATACTCTCAGCACCAGCTTGAAGCTTAATATTTTTTTTGGAATTGTATTGGCTCCATGGCGACCGTTGATGAAAGACTACAATGCGACGAGGGAGGTGTTTATTCGGAGACTTGATGCTTACGTAAAAGACCAGCAGCTTCTTGAGGGAATTCTTAATTTGACGGACTAACAGGTGTACAAACTTCTTCACGAGGGTGTTTTCTCTTCAGTGGAGGGACTATGAGAGGAGGGATACGATCAATTTCCGGGCAATGCAAAAACTTGATTCAGCTCTTGAAATGCCAGACGGATACTCGGAGCAGCGAAAAAAAATTACCCTTTTAACTAAGATTGAAGATGTACTGTTTGAACGAAAAGTTCGTGTCATGGACAGAAAGCTGAATGAGTTTCTTAATAGGAGATTTGATGGCAGAGGCTTTGTGGACGCCAATCGGAATGTCTTGCGGGAGGGGTTTTTAAGGACCCCGAGAAGTATATTTGCGATGCGGGAGTATTGGGCGAAATGCAGGCATCCGATCGTTATGCGATGATGGAGAGGACTGTAAGGGATGAAATGGATATGGAAGAGGATGTAAACAAGCTTTAAGAGCATTGTATGGACAATTTACTGAGGTGGTTAGTGGCTGCTGCGGAGGTAACGGCAAGTGTTTATGAAACCAATAAAAGGTTTTTGGATGCAGCTGCCGAGGAAACGAGGAACCCAAAGAAGTCGAGCGCATCGATATACCTGGAGGGACACTACGAGTCTGTGTACAATGCGAGGTGGCATCATGTCGTGGAGGTTCCTGGAGGCAAAGGGACGGGAATGAAGGTGGAGGAGGGTGAACCACCGCAGTCATGGACGTACAAGGCGGTTGGCTACACTCTCGAAAAGGATGACGGTGTGCAGCAATTTGGTGCAGAGCGCCTCAGGCTGATGGTGCTCACCTCGGACAGGGGATGGCCGTACTCGTGGAAATGGAAGGAGGGAGAATAAATCCACTCGTGACTGCCATGTGAACTGTGAGGTGGAGCGAGTGTGGCAGATCGTCAAGGGCGATGTAACCGAGTGGTTCAACAGTCTTCCTGAGGAGGACTTTACGCCAATTCCGCACGCCTTGATTGGGACGCCCGGGATTGGGAAGTCGATGGCTGCCGGCTCGTACCTCCTCTACCAGCTGCTGCACTACGAT